ATCACCTGTAGGAGAGGGAAAAGCGACAGTGAGGGGACAAGGAGACAAGGGCGGGCAGAGCACGGGAGCGGTGGGTCTCAGCTCCAATATCCCAAGAGCTTTTCTTCACCCAGGCTCACTTCCCTCTCCCTGCTTCCAAATTTTGGCTTGCTACGACCACAGTATCTGTGCTGGAACGGGAAGGAATGGGAAGTAGGATGCCTGCGGGGGCTTCAGTGACACTGACGCTGGCAGGAATTTCAATCCTGCAGTTTGAGAGCAGAGAAGGCTCCAGCTGCTTCAGCATGACTGAGTCTGGATGCCCCTGCCACGTCTTAGGCTCCATTTTTATCCTCACTCTACTTACCATCTGAAAGATGAAGGTCACCGTTCCACAAACCCGCACAGCTTTATTGAATCGTAGCTCCAGGTACTAGATAGGAGTATAAGTTAAAAAAAAAAAGGTATTCTTCCCAATCCACCCCCTACAATTCACACACAGCTTTCCTCAAGAGGCCCAGGAACACAAGGGAATATCCAACTCATATTCACTCTGGGCCCCTCTCCGCCCAGCACCCTCCTCCCGACTCCATCCCCGCCTGACCTCACCCAAGAGGAACTTGGAACACCGGAAGTGTTACCTGTCACTCCCATTAGGCTGAGGAGATCCTGGGGCCCAGGCGCTCATATGTAACCAGTCTTTCCTCCCTATCTTGCCCCTGGTGCTCCTCCCTTTCTCCCTGCTCACCTCATAGGCACTGGTGAGATGCAGGCGGTAGAAGACAGGGATGAAGATGTGTGCAGGGATAAGCAGCCCCAGGAAATAGCAGCAGCCCAGGAACCAGTACTGGGTCCCAAATCGGTAGATCTCTGATGGTACACCCAGGATGGCCACCGCTGACTGGAAGGTGGCCAGCAGGGACAGTGCCACAGGAAGGCAGCTCATTTTGCGGTCTGCCATCAGCAGCTGGCTAACAGTGTGCCGGCCCCAGCCACGACAGGCATGGTAGAGCCCAATGGCAAGGGAGAGAACCAGCAGCAGGATGAAGACCACATAGTCCACAAGGGAGAAAGTGGATGTGACCATGCTCGTGTCTGAGGCTGGGGGCAGGGAGGCCAAGGTGCTCACCCCCACCCTCATATCTTCACTGTGTCTGTCACCTATGGCCACTTGATGCTTCTGGGCTCTGGGCTGCCACTTGGCTGGGCAGAGACAGGCAAGTGGCTACAACCTGGTTCCCAGCCAGTCTCACAGTCTTCCTTCTCCACCAACTGACATTGTCCTGGGTGAGCTGTAAAGAAATCAGCTTCTAGTTAGGCCTAGCCGGCCCTCATGGCCACCCACCCCCAGGCCTATGCATCCTATATGCATGGAACTTGGACCAGCCAGCTGGGTGGCAGCCCTTGAAGGTCTGGAGGTGTTGATATGGATGTGATAGAGGAGAAAGGGAGAAGATCTTTTTGGGTGTGCACAGCTGCGAGATAGAAGAACCTTCTTAGGCATCCACCCCAGTAACAGAAGAAAAATAAACTCTAGCCTGTATTTCTTCTCAGGAGATTTTCCTGCCCCAACTTGCAGGCAAAGACCCAGTCACTACCATGTACTAAGCCAGGAAGCCCACTGGCGCCATGACCCAGCAGGGAAGAAACAGAGAATAATGATAACATGCCTTACTGTATTTCCCCTAGCCTAAACCCCCACCTCCCATGATCCCCAGTGTCACCTTCATAACTCAACCCTTTCTCAGCACTGATTCCCACTGAGATCACCTCCAAGGGCAGCCCCCAACTCTATTCCCGGCAGCCCAGGCCAACTGTTCCATTCTCTCCAACACCACTAGAGAAGCCCTGCCACCCACCTCTCAGTTCCTGTACCTGAAATTATCTGTCAATAGCAGATCCAAGAGAGCCATGGGGTTCAAAAGTAAGAGGGCAATGTGCCAGAGCCAGGGATTCAGAGTTATGACTACAGGTGCATTTGGGACAGAAGCAAACCAGCCAGGGAGCTGGGGCAAGGGGAGCAGCCAAGAAGAGTGGTCCTACCCTGCTGGGGCAGATACCTACCTGGAGAAGCAATCCCAGCTCTGAGGCAGAGCTGCCTGGACAAGCTGTGTGTCTGGACCTAGGCAGAGGCTGAGAGTCGGGTTCTGTAAGTGGCTGAGGTGAGATCAGGAATTGGTGGGTGGAATGAGGCTCAGCTGCTATTTGTTCTGGCTCCGTCAGGGAACCAATTGCTGTGATCCAAATGGTCCTATCGCTCTATGGCCCCCAAACACCAGTTCAGCCCTGGAGGCTCCAGAATGGGGAGCAGAGAACTCACATTCAACAGCATTTCTAGCTGGATTATGCTTTCACTGTAAGTTACACTTGGCACTGTGTGCCACACGGAACTGGAAAGGAGCTGAGAGATGGGGAAGTTGCTTTTCTGACTCCTGCAAAAGAAATACTAATCCTCAAACAATATATCATTATCCTCAGAACAAGGACAGGAGCATAGTATTCCAAAACTTGTAAGAATCTTAAGAGATCACTGTCACAACCCCCTCATTTACCAACAGATACTGAAGCCCAGTTGACTCCAGTGATCTTTCCAAGACCACAGAACCGACTATTGTCAGGGGCTAGATTAACTCAGATCTAGTGGTTCTCCATTCATCCATTCTCTATACATTGTCTTTAGAAGCTATTTTCTGGAGTACTTATTGCAGAAAAAAATACCAGACAATGTCATGTATTTAGCCTAACATAGTGATAGGTAACATTTTTTGAACACCTGCTACATGACCCAGCAGTGTGCTAAGCACTTTATAAACACTCATAATGATAAATAGTGAAAAGTAACCACAGCTATCACCTTCAAAACACGACATCTCAGGGTATGCGCAGGACATAAACATTCTAATTCTAAAGGAAACTGAGGCTTAGAAACGTTAAATAACTTGCTTAAGGTTACACAGCATCATACAAAGGGAGAAAGAAACAATGCTATCTGCAAGTATGATAGGTGATTCACTAGGGGCCGGGCCTTATTGCCCCCAAACAGGGCAGGGACAGAAATGTTAACTGCAGTCATTCATTCATGAAACAAAATTTAGACTTCAACTAAGAAACAGATTAATGTAAGATAGGTCTTCTGTGTTTACCCACTAGGAGGAAGTTCAGCCTGGCTTTCTTGTGGCTCTCCCACATTTTGTTCTTGGGCAGCTGTTGCCCAGCTGGCAAGGTACAGCCCCCCACAGATCAAACCTGAACTCTGAGCCTCCTAAGGCCAATGAAGATGGGAAACTGGAGTTGGCAACTCTCAAATCACATGTTCTACTGTGTCACAAATGTTAGTCCCTAGAACAATGTTCCCAACAGGCCAGTCTGGTTTAACCTAAAGATGCCCTGGGCCTTTGCACATTGCAACATCTCTAGTGCTCTCATTCCTCTTTGGCAAATTTTTACTATGAGAGAGGTGATGGCAACTACTGGAGTGTAAGAGGAGAGACATCTGCTGTGTGCAAATCAGGATGTATCGTGTAAAAGGTTAGTGGTTAGACAGACAGGCAGGTGGTTGGAAGAAGAAAGACAAAGTCACAGTGTAGCCTGGAAACAGACCTACAGAAATGGAGACCCTGTACTGTTGGGGCAAACTGGCAGGGTTTTTTGATAGAATTTTTCTGCATGAGCCACAGAGAACCCTCCTGGATGGTTAAAGCAAAAACCAGGCAAGACAGGAAAAACCTGACCCAGTAACAAAGTGTTTGTCCGATTCTAAGAACAGAAGAGTGAGTGGCTTTCTAAAAACTCTGCAATGAGCTAAAGCCTATGGACCTGCATGTCTCTGAGAGAGTGGGAGCCAAAGTAAGAGCTGAGCTACTTCACTAAAACTAACACACAGGCACAAATAGCTGGCTGAAACCCCCTTTTAAGAATCTACCACACACAGAGGCAAGAGACCACCCTATACCCCTCAACCCTCACTTTGGTCACAAACGCACTGGTTTGCTTTGACTTCTACAAGAAGCAAAGTGGCCACTGCAGAACCAACCATCCCAAAAAGGTTCCTTTAAAATCCATCCTTGTGCCTAGACAAGGTCTGAAAAGCTTTGGAAGCCCTCATTAAAATGCCAGTAACTACCAATGCCTTAGAAATGTGCCAGGCCAACTGAAAGTAAGATTTCTGGAGATTCCAGAAACCTGGGGGCGTGCAGAAGGGAAGCCTGCGCTGACTGCTCAAGATGAGCTCTGGTTAGCTCTCATGAGCTTTTGGATGGTCCTAACCAAGCCAGCACTCGGTCCCTCTGGGCGCGGGGCTTGCAGGCACCTTCGCTCAGGGCCCCTGGCACCCTAGGACAGATTCCACTCGACTTCCCCTTACCTCCGTAGCTCAGCAAGGGCTAAGAAGGTCCCTTCGTCCTTCCTGAGAGCAGCATCGCTCCGTCTTCCTGGGAAGGCAAAGGAGATGAAGAGCTAGAAGTCTCTCCCACCCTTACCTCCCCGCCAGGGCTCCGGACGCCGCGCGGTATCAGGACTGAAGTGAAGGGGCAGAGTTCCCGGGGCGTCTCCAGGCTTGTCTCCTCCCGCGGAGGTTTGCCCTTCACTCCTAGCTCCTTCATCCCCTTTACGCCCTTTACTTCCTGGCTTCCCTTCTCCCCTCCACATGTGAAGTGGCGGAACCACTACCACCACCTTGCGGCTCGCACCTCGGATATTCCCGGGGACCCCAAGCGAGCCCCCAAGCCGCTCTCCCCGCCCTAACGCCACTCTCCGAAGCCCCTCGGCGCCTGCCCACTGCCTCCAGGACCGCCTCCGTCCGGCCCACCTGCCGGGTCTCCACACGTGGGTCCCGCCTTGGCGAAAGCAAGGCCTGCATTGCCCTGGCCGGGTGACAGCCGGGCCCCGCCCCCTTCCCGCCTCCTTCCCGCCATGTTTACTGAGGGCGAATAGTGTGGCCCTGAGCGGCTACGGAGACGCGACCTCGGCGTCCGGGGTGGAGGAACGTGGGGGTGAAAGCGCAGCGGCAGGGAGTCCTTCGCTAGCGCGGGAGATGAGAGGTTCGGCCAGTTCCCGATAACGACGACTGGGACGTACAAAGAAAGAGCTGAATCCCTCAGGCAGCGGCAACCCAACGCCCACACGGGGCCTACTAGGCCACGCCCCGGGGGCGTAGCCACAGGTGCAAGTATCGCGAGCCACGGAGAAGGACGAAGGGAGCGAAAAATGGCCTGCTGGGGGTCCGTCAGTCCTCCGAGCTTCGTACCCTGGGCTGCGGCTTTGCTCCTCGCTCTGGGCGTGGATGGGGCTTTGGCGCTACCAGAGGTACAAAGGCAAGTTAGAGGTCAGGCTGAAGCAGAGTCGCTGGTGGGGCGTACGTCGCGCTCGCCCACCTTCGTCTTGGCCTTGGCGACTCGCAGCTCCGATTCCGTCCCCGAGCCCCCCACCAGCCGGAACCTAGCCGGCTCCCGCTCCCGAGTACTCATGCTGGGCAGGTGTTCCCCACCCCACTAGCCCTCGTCTTAGCAACGTAGACCTTTGAAATCAGATCTTGCTCTCTAATCTTTGGATAACCGAGTTCTTCTACTGATGAGTCCCTCTGGCTCTTCTGCAAGCTCACCACTCACAAATGCGGGTATATCGTGCGGTGGTGGCAGTAGTGTACTTTGCGTAATGCTTGATGAGTTCTTTGTGTAACTGCAGCCCTTCTAACACCTGGTCAAACCGAGTCTGTCAGGCTGAAAAGTCACTGGAATATATTCGAAAAGAAATTCTCAAAGATGAGAGCTTTTCCTGGGGGAGGTCTGATACAGATGGGCTCTGGCGCGTTGATTTGGGACCTGTCTCCAGGGGAGGAAGTGGATCTCCTAGTCAAACTTGATAAAGGGTCCAAGTAGGACCCTTCCCTACTCTGTGGTAGAGAATTTCTGCAGTGTACTGAGTTAACTTGATCCCTGTGTTCTTTTTTTTTTTTTTATAGTTTTCTTTGATGAGTCAATATTTTTCTCTTTTCTGCAGATATGCATCCAGTGTCCAGGGACTGTTCGAAATTTGTCAGAAGTGGCCCATTATTGTAAGCAGACACCAGGGCTAATGCTGCATGCCCGCTGCTGCCTGAATCAGAAGGGCACCATCCTGGGGTGAGGGAGGAGGAGACATTCCTGGCTACTGGAACGGTTCCCAAACCAGATTGTTAAAAGCTTACCTGATAGGCTTTTGGAATAAATACTGGTGCCTGTTTTGGAGGCATCTAAATCATGATTCTCAGACTTTTAAATGTTAGAGCATTTTTGGCTAGGTAAACAACCCTGTGCTGCTTCGTGGTTGAAACTGCATAAAGTCATAATCTTTGCCCATTTTTAAAAGCCTTCTGTGGCTTCATTTTTAAAAAAGCTTTGTTCTTTTGTGTATTAGCAACAAGAGTTTGAATTGTTTCGTGTGTCTCTGTGAAATGACTCCCTTGACTTCCAAGACACCATGCTAATACGGTTTTCTTCCATTTCGAGGAATTTATGTTTATCTTTGATGCAAATTCCTCTTCCTGTCCCCGTGTGCAGATTGGTCCCTGCATTTTTCCCTTTACCCTTGAGAATCCACCTGTTCCTTCGGCTTCAGGTGTAACCACCATGCAGTTATCTCCCAAAACTAGATTTCTTTGAGTATCCTTTGACCTCTCTCCAAGTTTCAGGAAATTTGGGTACCACTAGCTTCCTATTAAACATTTCCTCTTGAGTGCACCCTCACTTCAAATTCAAAATGGCATGTCTTGCTTCCATTCTCCTCTTTCCCCAATCTACCTAAATACTTCTCTATAACTAAACTTTCTGGAAACCACATCTTATTTGTTATTACTCTCTGGCTTTAAAATTCAAATTAAAACTCTTGCCCTCAGGGTAAAGTTCAAATCATGAACCACCATAGAGTGGTCCAACCCAACTTAAGGTTATTTCCAATCATTTGCCTACTCAAATCTTCCATGATGGTGTGGCTTCAGCAAGATTTTTCTATCTCCAAAAGCATTCCACCTCTATTTCTTTGTTCATGCCTCTCCCCTTACCTGAAATTGCTTTCATCTACCAAATTAGGACATCCTTTAATTCCAACATCTGTGAATGCTACTACTAAATATCAGAGTAACATCTTTTTTTTTACTTCCTCTAATCCTTACTCTCTGTACCACTCAAATTTATTCATATATTGTCCTGTGATTTCTTTATTATTGTATTAATGTTTATATTGTTTTTCTTTTTGGTGATTCTCTTGTTCTACATTGTAAGCCATTTGAAAGCTAAGATACTGAGGTTTTTTATTCTGCTAGTTTTTCAGTTAGTGGACCCTCAGTAAATATTTGTAGAATAAAGGAACAGACAATAGATGATGAAGAAAAAATATGTGGCATGATCCTTCATATCTGGCAGTTTACATCCAATCTGTTAGAAAATGCAGTTGGGAAAAATTTTCATTTATGTGGCTTGAAATTTTTTTCCATTTGAAGGCCCTTTATGGGTCTGAGAATCATCACAATGAGATTCACTAATCTAGACAAGAAATTTTCTTCCAGTATATACATAAATGCACAGGTATACTGATTAGAATAGTACTATCCAATAAAACTTTCTGTATAGAAATTGTCAATATCTGTACTCTCCAATACAGTAGCTACTAACCACATGTTAGTGGTTACTGAACACTCGAAATAGGGGTAGTGCAAATAAGGAACTGAATTTTTTAAATTTAAGTAGCTACATGTTGCTAGTGGTGACCTAATTGGACAATGCAGGATTAAAACATCTACAACAGCACCTAGTTTGTGGCCCTGAACACAGCTGTACTCAACTAATATTAGCTGAAAAAGGGATTGTATTAGCTTACCGTGGCTAATGAGCAGAAACACATACTTATGCTCATTACTTTATTTCCACAGGCTGGATCTCCAGAACTGTTCTCTGAAGGACCCTGGTCCATACTTTCCTCAGGCACATACTGCTATCATCATGTAAGTGGTTAGTTATCCTCCCAAAAGGTGAAGGGTTGATGGGAAAATCTTTGAAGATGGACTTCTAAAAGATGTTTGAATATCTAAGCTTGGGCAACTCAGAAAGACAACTGGATTACCCGTCCAGGAAGATGTGTGAATGGAAGTAGGGTATTTTCCTAGAGCACTGTGCTAATTGAGTGTACTTTGCAGAGACCTGCAGGCAAACCCCCTCAAGGATGACTTGGCCAACACTTTCCAGGGCTTTACCCAGCTCCAGACTCTGTGAGTAAGGATGAGGGGTTGGGGAAAGAGGGACAGTGCAGTGAGCTCAGCAACTTCGGGCTGCACATTGTGACTGCCTGTGTTGTGTCCAGGATTTTGCCACAAGATGTCAACTGTCCTGGAGGTATTAATGCCTGGAATACTGTTACCTTTTATATAAACAACCACACCTGCCAAGGACAAAGGAACCTTTGTAACAGCACTGGGGACGTAGGTATGCCATCTCACCTGCACTTTTCTAGGAACTGCCTTTTATACCTTGTAGTCTCCATTTTAAATCAGAAAGACAGTCAAGTTGCTTAATTGCCTTTTGTTCAGGTTTCTGAAGCTCTGAGTACTTTGAAAGAAAAAGTCTTAAGACATATTATTGTTACTCTTCTTATATTCTGATTATTTATAATCTTTTTTCCACTTTTGACTTTAAAGTATTTGAGAGAATTTGAGTTGGGGCAGATACTTGAGAAACATACTTAAATGAGGTCCAATTATATTTTGTTTCTCTCTGGCTCCCAGAAATGTGCCCTGAGAATGGATCTTGTGCACCGGATGGTCCAGGCCTCTTGCAGTGTATTTGTGCTGATGGCTTTCATGGCTACAAGTGCATGCGTCAGGTGAGGAATTTGACCTTCTAATTAGTGATAAGAGAATACATAGAACAAGAACCTCTTGAAAGAAGAGCCCTAAAACCAGGGGCTGATGCAAATCAGCTGGAGAAGGAAACTCTAAGAGAATTGCCCTGGATGAGGAGATAGGTATACTGGGTGTTAGGAAGGATGTAGCCATTAGTGTAACATTGTATGAGGTTTTTTGTTTTTGTTTTTGTTTTTGTCTGTTATTCACAGGGCTCCTTCCCACTGCTTATATTTTTTGGGATTCTGGGATTCACCACATTATCCATCTCCATACTGCTTTGGGGGACCCAACGCCAAAAAGCCAAGGCTACATAAACCACATAGATCTTCCTACAGACCTAAACATCATTCCGATCTATCTCAGACCAGCCAGGGAGATTTTCTTCTTGGACAGGCATCACTGACCAGCAGATCCTCCTCAAGGCGGAGGCTGCCGCTGGAAGGAAGACGGAAAATGAATGGCACAACCTTGTATTGCAGTAGACAATCCAGTCCGCCTTGGACTAATACCGGTTCCCATTTGTGCTGTTACCTATAATAAATGTTTCTATTTCTTTCTTCTAATTTTTATTTGTTAAGGGAAAGGCGCCTTGTTTAATTTTATGTTAGGGGAAAAGGTGTTTCTTGGTTGTGGTGGGAGAGAGTGCTTAGGGATTGTCGTCTTGCCCCGCGGGCTAGGCTGGGTGATGGGTGGGAAAGAGGCGCGGTCCCTGCAACTATGTTGCGGTTCTGGTCCCGCCCCTTACGTGCCCTGCCCCGCCCCTCACGTTGCCGGCTCCCTGCGCCGCCGCAGTCCGCCGCCGCCCAGCGCGCTTAGGGCTCCTGCACCTTCCACGCCGCCTTAGCTCCAGCCACCCGCGCGGTTAGCCACGTGGATCGATCCTGGCGCGCCGTCCTCACGTGGTTCCAGCATCTGCAGGGGCTTGCCGCGTTTCTTGCTTCTCTGTGCTCGCCCCCGCCCGATCTCCGTTCCCATGGCGGCCCTGGTACTGGAGGACGGGTCTGTCCTGCGGGGCCAGCCCTTTGGGGCCGCTGTGTCGACTGCCGGGGAAGTGGGTAAGCAAGCCCGGGCCGGCTGCCGAGCTCATCCCACTCTCTGCTGCTTCTGTCTGTCCAGCCTGCCCTGCCCAGACCCCGCCATTTTCCCGCCTGCACACCCCTCCCCCTCATTAGGCGCCCACGTCCCCAGCCCCTTTCATCCCTCAAGGTCAAGGCAGCCTCCCCTGGGGCATTCTCATCGCGTAGGGCAGTGTTCCGAAGGGTGCCCTGCCTGAGCCTCAGCCCTGCCTCTTTCTTGCAGTGTTTCAAACCGGCATGGTCGGCTACCCCGAAGCCCTGACTGACCCTTCCTACAAAGCACAGATCTTAGTGCTGACATATCCTCTGATCGGCAACTATGGCATCCCCAGTGATGAAGTGGATGAGTTCGGTCTCAGCAAGGTAGCCACACCCAATGCTTTATCTACATTCCTTTCAAAATCAGTCATTATCAAACTCCTAGTCAAGTGATGACATTGACATTCTGCTAGGCATCCTGGAGAGAACAAAGATAGGGCTTAAGAAGTACCCTGAGAGGCAGAGTGCCTGAGGCCAAAGCCTTTGGTAAGGAAACCCGTGAAGATTTTTTAGTGGCAGAGCTGTGATGGGAACAGTGCTCTAAGATTAAATAGATCAGTGGTAAAGAGACCAACAACTGGGGTCACACCCACTCTGCGCTGTGACAGCAGGTCCTAATTCACCGGCCAAATTGGTGACGTTGGTTACTGGCTTCTAAACTTTGCTTGCCTCATTTTCTATCACTTTTCAGTAGAGTTTTTAAACCCAGTTTCCCCCCCACAGTAAGGTTTCCCCTGTTTCTCCTCTGGAATTTGGAGATGAAGTTGCCCTCCGAGAGTTCAAGTAATAAAAAAAATCAACACAAGTTAATAGTGGAAGTCATCTTAGCCTAAGGGAGGTATTCCACAAAACTCATTTTATACTGATTCCAAGTTTCCTGAGCTTTTAATTCAAAATAAATTACTTTCTCCATCCTCCTGCCACTTATTCTGTGTGAGGGACATACTTGCTCTTCCTGGAAAGGACCATTCCTCATCACAAACTTACAAATAGCGCTATATTGTAGTTTATAATGCAGGATCTTGGTTAACATGTTAGTCTTCAGCTTTGTCAACTGCAGACAGACTGACAAAATTGAGCTTATACACCTGTAAAACTGGGTCCTGACCAAACCAGGGTGAGTAAGGTCTCCTTGGAACCAGCAGTCCACCATGGATGCTTCTGTGGCACACGTGGTGTAGACACATGTGTCTGGATGCAGGCTGGTCCCCTGGCCACAGAGGGGTCTGGCACACTGTTCTGCAGATCTCTGAACAACAGTGTCAACGTCCATCTTCCTTTAAACCGTCCATCACTAAACAGATGTAACTTAAATATGCACTCCCACCCACATAAATGACGTGTTTTCTCAGTTTAGTTATTAAATGCTTATCTGTTGGGTAACAAATTTGTGTGTTTTTTTTCTTAGTTCAAACTTTTATTTCAACACTTGTGCGTGTGTCGTTTAATGATAATCTATGAATGGGGATGGGAGTTAATAATGTCTGCTGTTGTATCCTGAACGTTTATTTAGAAAGGTATTATGCATCTATCTTACACTCTGTTTTTATCATACACTAATTATGATCTTGTTCATTTACACATTACTTTGCTAATTTTCAGGCCCCCTAAGTAGCAAATTAACCTGAAGACAGAGACTGTCTTCCCTGCTCACGCTCCTCCCCCAGCTTTTATGACAATGCCTGGCACCAAGTAGGCACTAAGTGAATGTTTGTTGACTGCTGCCATGTGTTGGGCGCTTTACTCTTGAGAAATTCACAGTTCTGTGATGAAGACATCTGTAATAGTAACATGAGTTACATTCATAATACAATGTAAATAGCAAGAGCAGCGAAATTAAAGTGAGCTTAGGTGAGCTCTAAGGAGGAGGGACAAAGCTGTGGTGGATAAGTGGGGGTGGCTTCACAGAAGAGCAGGTTTGTGATGCCAGTTTTGGATAAGAGGAGGAAAGAAAAAGGAAAATGTTGTTTTCAGTTATTAATCAGGCACCCTGGACCCAGTATTTCATGTGGGAGACAGCATTGTTGATGAGCAAAAACAGTGCCTAGTGTGTTAAAGGAATGATAGGTCATTTGGTGTGACTGAAGTGCAGGGTCTGCTGCACAGTGGGAAAAGATGACACAGGGAGGTATGTGGCCTCGGACTCCTCACAGTCTCCTCCTTCCATTGACAGTGGTTTGAATCTTCAGGGATTCATATAGCAGGACTGGTGGTGGGAGAGTGCTGCCCCACACCCAGCCATTGGAGTGCCACCCGCACCCTGCATGAGTGGCTGCAACAGCATGGCGTACCTGGCCTGCAAGGTATGGTACAAAGCACTGGTTTGTGGATAGAATTCAAGAGGATCTCTTGTGCACTATTGAGATTGTGTCCAAGGTTGTGATAGAATGTATCTGATTTGGAAGGATTTACTGGGGGCTGGAGCTGGGAGAAGGAACTGAGCGCTCCATCAGGTGGAATATTTCAAACATACAGAAGGAGAGAATAGCCTAAGAACCCCCAACTTTTGTAATCAACAACTCTGGTCTAACCTTATTTCATCACCATGCTATAACCCCAGGTTACTTTGAAGCAAATTTTATATATTATATCATTTCATCCACAATAGTTCACTATCTATAAAAAAGGAGTGCTTTATAAAATAGGACCATAATATTATTCTACCTTTTAAGAATTAATAATATCTGCTTAATATCATGAAGTATCAGGCAATGTTTAAAATTTTCTCAAATATCTATTTGTTTTTACTATTTTTTTTTAATCTGGATTTAAACAAGATCCATACGTTGCATCTGGTTGACACGTCTCTTTAATCTATGGGCCTTGTAACCTAATGGACAAAAACAGGTGACCTTTCCTTTAGAGTATCACAGTCTATGTTTTGTCGATCGTATTGCTGTAGTGTCATTTAGAATATTCTTTTATCCCTCTGCATTATTTTCTGTAAACAGATCTAGATTCATGGTTCAATTGAGATGTGATATTTTTAGCAAGACTACTTCATGGTGCTGTATTTCCATCAGGATGGCCCAGGATTTTAATGCCCATTGAGCAGCTGTGTGTGACTCAAAGCTCTGGAATGAAGTGCTCCTGGAAATCTCACGTCAGGCATAACTGAGTTGGGGGAGTATGATACCTCAGAGTGTACTGTTTTGACAGGAGTGGACACCCGGGAGCTGACTAAGAAGTTGCGAGAGCAAGGGTCTCTGCTGGGAAAGCTGATTCAGGATGGGACAGAGCCATCAACCCTGCCATTCTTGGACCCCAATGCCCGCCCCCTGGTGCCGGAGGTCTCCATTAAGGTACAGAGGCAGAGCGGAAGAGTGTTGGGCAACCTACAGCCCAGGAGTTCACCCATAACTAGGGTGAACACTTGAGGGAGAAACAGAAGAGGCCTTGAAGGTAGAGGTTGGTGTATACATACCTGCACCCGCTGATCACAGCTGCCAACCATTGCCCTTTGTTCCTCAGGCTCTACAGGTATTCAATGCACATGGTACTCCCCGGATCCTTGCTTTGGACTGTGGCCTCAAGTATAATCAGATTCGGTGCCTGTGCCAGCGTGGGGCTGAGGTCACTGTGGTACCATGGGACCATGCATTAAACAGCCAGGGTGAGTAGCTGGGGTCTATACAGGGCCACAGACAAGAAGCATGGGTGGAAGATCTGTCCCCAGGTCCTGATGCTGAAAGTCAGCATGAGTTGCAGGGAGGAAGATGGAGATAAGGGCTTTTGCTCTAATGGTTTAGGGCTACAAGTGTGTCTCTGTAGTTGAACTGGTTTTGACATATACTTTTCTGCCACTCCAGAGTATGAGGGTCTCTTCCTGAGTAATGGCCCCGGTGACCCTGCCTCCTATCCCAATGTGGTATCCACACTAAGTCGTGTCTTATCTGAGCCTAATCCTCGACCTGTCTTTGGGATCTGTCTGGGACACCAGCTGTTGGCTTTAGCCATTGGGGCCAAGACGTATAAGATGAGGTAGGACCTGTGGGAAGGAGAAGGGCCTGCACTACTGATGGAAGGGATGGGGAGCCTTGGGGATGGGAAGGGTTGGCATTTTATTAGTGTTGAGATAGGAGTAGGAGCTGGTGATGGTCATGAAATCAACAAGAGCTGGATCTGATACAGTGGTGAAGGGAAGGTGGAGAGGGCCTGTGACAGCGTGCTTCCATCTCCAGGTATGGGAACCGAGGTCACAACCAGTCGTGCTTGCTGGTGGGCTCTGGGCGCTGCTGTCTGACATCCCAGAACCATGGGTTTGCTGTGGAAACAGACTCACTGCCAGCAGGCTGGCTTCCTCTCTTCACTAATGCCAATGATCGTTCCAATGAAGGCATTGTACATGACAGCCTGCCATTCTTCAGGTGAGCCTGGATGATTCTGTCAGGGTGCCTGGATCTGTGTAGCTTTGAGGCCCCCTGGGACTGGCACATCAAAC